GCACTGGGGGCTAAGTCTGTACTGGGTTACCTGTCCACTTTCATCCCTGAGTATTACGCTCTGCCCTGCCCTGAGCAGAAGCACTTTCCATTTCTCCTTCATTTTGTCTCTGGCTGCCCATGTCCAGAAGTTAAGACTCTCAGTCAGGTGGCAAATAGAAGAACAGATATTAGGATTTCGTTGCGGAGGTCTCCGCTGATGTCTCCCAGGAACTGTGGGGCTGGGGTGCTGACCCAGAGGGGGATTGTGCAGGTGGGACAAAGCACAGTCCCTGCCTTTCCTCTTTCCTCCTTCCTCCTTCCTCCTTCCTTCTTCCACTTTCCAGTCAACTGCTTCTTTCCATTCTGGACAGGTCTAATGACTTAAGTTGAGTGAAACCTTACAGCTCACCTGCCTAAGCCTCTTTCTAGTGCTTAGAACCCACTTTTCAATACCCAGAATGTGGTCAGGAAGCTGTGGCTAGAATCTGTCTGCTGGTGGGAGAAGGAGTGGTTGGAAAGCAAGAGGGGAAGAGGGGAGTGAGAGGAAGGCTGGGCTCTTGGGGGCAGACGTGGGGGCTCCTGCCTCCCACTCAACTTCCAGGCTACCTTCTTGGGATAATTTGGTTACATTTTGGAGAAACATTATTGAACAGAGTATTTTAAGATTTTCTGATGTCCTACCTCCTAAACACATTTTGTCAAATATATACCTCTGTGCTTATTAGTTCTAAGTCTGGGGATTTTGTTTTTGTTTTTGTTTTGTTTTGTTTTGCTTTATTCTAAGTCTGGGGATTTTGTTTTTGTTTTTTGTTTTGTTTTGCTTTGCTTTGCTTTGCTTTATTAGGAAGGAGGAGAGAATGGGAGAAAGAACCCTGCTTTCATATTTAAACATATTCTTAAAATATCTAAATTCTCAGGAGAATTTTAAAGAGAAAAGAAATTTAAAAAGTTAAAATTTTGAGGAAATGAGAATTAAAGAGATTTGTGAAAAATATTCCTTCAAGGATATGGGCACAAGTGAAGCAAGGAAAAGGCAGTGTCCTGGGCATGGCTGAGATATTTGGAAGGTCACCAAGAGGGGACGTTGCATAGATACTCAATGGCTTTCCTCCTTTCATGGTGCAGCCCTCCCAACCTGCACATGACATGTATAAAGGAGACAGTGACAGCCTGATGAGGGGTAGATGCACAGCTGGACGGGCTCTGCTCAAAGTCTGGTCCCATCTTCACTGTGTGATACTGAAAGTCACCTAACCTCTTGAAACCTCAGCCTCTTTACCTATAAAATGAGCATCACAATTTTCCTCATCACACAGGGTTATTATGAGGATTAAATGGCATAAGAGATGTAAAATGATTAGTGCAATAAATAGACGTTACAATAATTATCATTGCCATGTGTGGCAGCCACAATCTTTACATCCTCTTACCTCGTTTGAAATGAGAGCATCTGGTCATGGTTGTTTTGGCACACAGGGCTCTCTGCTGTGCCCACACCCCATCCCTGTTTCTCCAAGATTAGCTAGTTCAAGGTTGAAGAGATGAAACTCAGATTTAGTGCTTTCTGGTAACCAATGATTAAAAAACAAACTGAGATAAAACAACCATTTTCATATCACAGTACCACGTCACCTTCAGTTTAACATTGGTCTCTGACAACACAAAGCATCTTTATGCCTTATGGTCAATTGTTTCGATTTCGTAAAAACTATTCCCTTATTTACCTGGAGGAGATGAGCTTGATACACAGGTTTCCACACATTTCTCTTTATCTGTAACACTGCATGTAGCTTCTATAGTTGACCCTTGAACAACACAGGTCTTAACTGCATATGCCCACCTATTTGTGGATTTTTTTTTTAGTAAACGCATACGAGTGTTGTAAATGTATTTTCTCTCCCTTAAGATTTTCTTAATGACATTTTCTTCTCTTTAGCTTACATTATTGTAAAACTACAGTACTATGTAACATATCTAACATACGCGTTAATCGACTGTTTCGGTTTTCTGTCAGCCTTCCAGTCAACAGTAGGCTATTAGAAGTTAAGTTGTAGGTTAAGTTATACACTGATTTTCGACTGTGCGGGGAGTCAGAGCCCCTAACCCCCACATTGTTGAGGAGTTAACTGTATTCTACTCCCTTGCTTGCGGAAGCAAAATGAAAAGGAGAAAATCGTGCTGGTCAGAAAGTTTAGGGTTAGAGCTAGAGTCTCAAGAAGAACTCTGTTTCATTCTGGGCTCTTGCCACCTGGATAGTAAGTCTTCTCTCTGATCAGGGGTCTTGTTCCTTCCTCTTTTTGTCATATTTTCCTAGATAACGACAGCAATGATTCAGAACTCTCCTTGATCATGTTCAACGCACACTCTCGAACGAGGTCGTTTCAAGAAAGACAACTGACACAAGAAATAATCCCAATGAAGAATTTAAACAGAGGACGGAAGCCATCCAGCTTTGACTATCAAAGAAAAACAAGCCAAGAAGAGCGTATTGGAGGGAGCCGAAGGGTTGCTCTAAGGCCCAAACCTCTATTTCATGTAGTAGATGAGGAGTGTGAATCTGAAGGGGAGAGCGGGGAAGAGGCCTCAGCGAATGGGTCCGGATGGTCCACTGAGCACAGACACAGAAGGGACTACCATAGGTCCCACAGTCCTTTGCTCCAAAAAAAATAGTTTTACTGTGTGCAAGCTTCGTCTGTGCTTTCTATTATTGTGAAAGAAGGGTTTTCAGAATCCTGAAGAAAGTTATTGAATTTACTTTTTTTTGAAGCTATTAGACATGCATCTATAAGAGTCAGGGAGATTTTTTTGGAGGATTGGGAGCAAATTTGTACACTTTGCCCCATTCTTAGTGGGTATACTTGTAAATAATTCCCTGTGAGTGATAGATCTTCATCATCCCAGAAATTATTTACTAAGGATTTCTACGAGTGTGTGATCTGTGCAATTTATTGAGATACAACATGATTGGTCAGTAATTCATCTTGACAATATTCATGGAGAACTAGGAGGACCCCTAGAAATATCCTGGCCCAACTCCATAAGCTTACAAATGAGGACACCTTGGCCAAGATCACGTGGTGAGCTGCTGGCTTCTCAAGGTGATTGAACTCCCTCCCAAGAGAATGCATTTGCTTTGAGTTTAATATGAACTATACAATAATTATATTTATAAAGAGAGGTAAAATTTGTCATAACATTGTTATATTTAATCAGTAGCAATAAGACAGATGTGACCTAGACTAAAGAATTAATCTATGAACAATGGGCTTGTCTACCTTATAGCTGGAATATTTATTTTAAAACCAAATATTAGAAACAAAGTAGCATAAACAGGCTTATTTAGTAGTAATGACATTAGCAACAGGTGTTTGTTAGATATGCATTCGTAGGGTATGATATTTTGCCCTAGGGATTGAAACTATTTTCCAACTTAATTTTCCATGTTCATTGTCCCCAAACTTGACCTTGATCCTCACACTCCAGCTCACCAACTTTGCTATATGACTTTATCTTTCCTCCCTTCTCCTCTCTTCATCATCTCTCTCTTCTGATGACATGTAGATTAACAAATATTTATAAAGTGCTATTTATTGTACCAAATTTCTAATCTATAGTAATCAATTAACCATAACATCCTTTATCAATTTCTGTTTTTGGCATCTCTAATCATCCCCAATTGACTTAATCCCATGCATCTTTAAAGGTCACGATCCAATGGATCTGGCTCTCTAGATCTGCTTTGATCCCCTTAATCAGAAGTAATCAAGCGATCTCCTTCTTCTTTGGTGCTCCTGCACCACTCTGGATGTGTCATGGAATTTATCTGGGAATTACACTTACACATGTGCATGTGTGTCCACTACAATAGTCCATGGTCTAAAGGAAGGGGAAGATAATCTGTCTCTTGTCTTTACCTTTTTCTATTTGTTTTAGCTTTTTTTAAAGTTATTATAATGCTTGGACATGTTATCTATGGATGTTGACATCATGATGACATTTTAGAGCTGGAAGAGACATTAGAAAAGATGTTGTCAGATATTCTTAATTTCCAGGCGAAAAAAATGAGCCTTTGAGAAGCTACCTGGTGCCAGTTCAGGCTCTACTTTCCCTTGAAGGGCATGGGCTTGTCCTCTAGTATAACTAATGGGTGATGGTGACTGACAAAGGATATATGACTTTCCACAGACTGATAATTTGTGAATGGCATTCACCCAGATTCCTGCTTCAGTGTTAGAAATGGCAGCCGAAAGAGCCTACTTATCTTTCTTCTTCTGAACCTGAAATGTAAGACAGCTTTTAAGTTGTCTAAATATTTGGATTTTAATAAAAATTATATACTACCAAATAACAGCAATCGGCCTGAAGGGATAGAAGCACCCATAAGACCAGGGATCTCTAGGTTTTTCTTTTTGTTTAAACATACAAGCAGTCAAAGCCTCAGAAAAAACTTTATATCCCCTGAGAGGGAGTCAGTGAGTCATCTTTCAGATACAGATGGAAATATAGAGACAGAAAGGAGTCATCAAAAATCATCTTTCAGAAGCCATATGCAAAGCTGATTCTTAAGAAGTGAAGAGGGCCCATGTCCCTTAGTGGACTTGGCACATAACACCGGAAGTCCACATTGCAAAGGCCCCTTCCCAGAATAGCTATAAAGGTCTAAGAATTAGTGGAAGTCATCTAACTCTTCTGTTTTACTCTGAGATGCTGGCGCCATTAGGGAGAAGAGTGGTAGGATTTTGTGAGTAGATTGGAACTTGCCCCTTTAACTGGTAGGAGCAATAATTGACATGTTTATCCAGAAGCCTTTGTTTATCTGGACATTGTCTGGCCAAGGCTGCTTGAGGCTGGAAAGTGGCCCCGGAGCTCCTACTTGAAAGGTGAGGCAGGTTGAGGGCACTAGTGGTACTGGTAGCTCCGGTTGACTTGGAGAACTCATGGTGGAATGGCCTCTTTGTTTGTTTGTCATCCAGAATTGTTTCAAAATGCAGTGTGATCTGATCTTCATTCCATTAGTGACAGCCCACTCCGGGGATTTGTTGAGAGTGTGATAGGTGCTCTGAGTGTGATAGGTGCTTGGCTATCAGTTTCGAACGATGAGTTTTTCCAACAAAAGGTATGCAATCAGCAGAGAAAGTTTTCTCTTGGGTGTTGAGGAAGATCTAGTTCTTTTTCCCTCCTTGGCACAGGGCGAGAATGGAGTCTCATACGAGGTGTCCTCCTGGGCCTGACTTCTGGTCCACTGAGCAGTCCACCTTTTCTGCCAGTGGCTGGATTTGTCCTTATGTCTTCAACTTCAAAAAGCTGACACACGACCCACAAAATCCTACCTCTATAAGATATATTTTGTTTTGCATTGGTGTTTTGTTTTGTTTTCTTTTCTTTTTTTTTAGTTTCTCAAGCCTATTTATATTGTTAGGCTGAATGTTTTTGTGTTTCAGTGAATTCCAAAGTGGGGAAAAGTAGCATTTCCTTATATTTATCCTATGCAGCAGATTTCCTTAAGTTTTTCCACACGTTTTCTGGTGTTTGGGATGTGGTAAGTATTCTTATTCAAATTCTCCAATCTTGAGGTGATGCCATGGGCACCTCTCCCATCTGTAATCAATCCGCTAAAAGAGAAACCTTGGCCACTGGCCACAGAAGTGGAGATGAGATTCTAGACACTTTATTGTGCTTCTTTCATGCTTTTATCTTGCTCATAAAGGCCATATACATCTGTTTTTCTCTTCTTAGAGAAATTTAAAGGGTCATGGGGGTGGCTTGTAGGGTTGGAATTCAGTGGTAGAATTTCCATCGCTATATAAGAAGTGACTATTATGGTAGATGTGTGGCAGAACTCATGTCTTCAGCTTAGTACTGATTAGCCTGCAGCAAAGCCCGCCAAAAGACCTCTTCACCTGTTTGGATGCCTACTATTCAGATTGTTTAGATTTTAAAATCAATGTAGTTATTTCAGAGCTCAGGCTCTGAAGTCAGACCACAAGTAGCTATGGGAGCTTGGGTAACTTAATTAACTTCCCTAAGTTGAAATTTACCATTGATACTATAAGGTAATAATTGTATCTACCTCATAAAATGATTATGAAGATTAAATGAGATAATCTATGTAAAATTCTTAGCTTAATGTTTGTTTTATAGTAAGAGCTTGGTCACTAACAGCTATAATTATTTAGGCTAAAATATATGTACTCTTGAGAGAAGACATACATTGATTGGATAACATGAAGAGATATAACAGAAATCTGAGTCTTTTCTGAGAGGCCATTTGATTGACATAGTAGAGGATACTTGGGGAGAGGATGCGACAAAATTGAGAGCATTGAAAAATGTGATCACAATTCTATCTGGCCGTGTCTCTATCTAGCATCCATCAATCAATAGCAAAACCAGAGATAAGGTCCGGATACGGATTCATGTTTTTAAATCACAGCTTGTTTATTTCTGTGTCATTACCTCAAAATTATTGCATTTTCCTAATCTGGGGACAGTTATCCTGGTGTCCAATCCTAATCATGGTTTATTCTGAAAGAGACAGTGGATTTAGGAGCCCTGACTCTGCATAGTGTAATAGGGACCAGTGAAGAAAGGGATCACCTTCATGCTATGGCTAAACCCTTTGTTGAGGTTTAATTTCTCAGCTTGGAATCTTTCCTATAAGAGAACTGCCCTCCAAAAAAGTGATTCTCTTAACTTATGAATATTAACTAAAGAGGCAAGTGTTTTAGAATTTTCAGCATGAAAAAAATTGTTTCTGGTATGTTTCATAATTTTCTAAAATTAAGAGAAGTAATTTTTTTTAATAAATAAAGTCAATGAATATGTATTGGTGTTGTCTAAGGTTTTTGCAATTATATTTTATCTATAAATAATACAGGTGGTTTATTATAGTTTTTAATTTTTTTCCCTCACAAAACTCTGTCAAGAATCTTATTTCTAACTCCTCCTGAGAAAATCCAGGAGTACAGACAGAAAGCTTTCTTTTAGGACATCAGTGACTGTTAATTGTTAATTGAGCCATAAGCCAAGGAAAATAAAAGAGATGCCTGCATCAGTGCTAGTCACTCCTGTAATTAGCAAGTGATACGTTGTTTCATCTGTGCATCATATTTGATTAATAAACTATTTTTTTTTTCTGAGATTCTAATGAGCTTCCAAGCCAGGGTGCTCAAGTAAGTATGACAGGTGAGAAATAAAAAATTTCCATTACCCAGCCTTCTTCAAATTAGGATTTACTGAGCAAAGTAACTGGAGCCATGTTGTAAACTGAACCAAGATGACCACTATTCTGTTTCCAGCGCAGTCATACAGATCTCGAATGAAAATGGGCAGCCCTGAAATCAAGGCACATACTCTGCTCTAGGATATCAGTCTTGATTAAAATGGTAATAATAACCACATGTATAGAGTGCTTAATTTATGCTAGACACTATTAAAAGTGTTTTATATACATAATGTAGTATCACCCCATCTTAAATGGAAAAAAACAAAAACAAAAACAGGATTAGAGAGATTAAGCAACAAGGCCAAGGTCTGCCTTCTTCCAAGGAAGACCTTAGAAACCAGGTTTGTCCGGTTCGTAAGCACCAACCTACACTTTTTCCCTGAGAGGAACTAGGAGTTTAGTGACTTGAATCCACAGAGATGCCCCACGCTACTAAAAAAGAATT